TGTGTATGTATGTGTGCTTGTTTATATTTATGTATATATATGTACATATATATATATATGTATATGTGTGTGTGTTTGAATATGTATATATTATTTATTGAAATTATGTAATGAAGCGGTGTACTGCAGCTGGTTTGTGTATTTGTTTGTAGCTTAAACTTAATTACGTTCCTGAGTGAATTTCAATGCAACCTCTTACAGTATTAAGAATATTTTATAAGAATTATGACAATATTACAAGAAATAAATTTTTGTTATTATATTTGGTTTAACACAACAGAACTGCCCTCTGCACATAAAGAATATATAATATATGTATATATATATGTATATATTATATTTATTTGTGTATTTTTATTTTAAATATATAAGGGTGCCACTGAAATCAGGGTTGGGGTGTTGTACTTCTGATACATTCCAACATATCCTGAGTGGCTTTCCTTTTTGGAGCAGAGCAGCATTAACGGGTGGATTATCTTTGTAATACACCTTATGCATTACTCCTTATTCTCTAGTTCTTTATTATTATTTTTTTTCTTTTTTATGTTATTGTTTGCTTTTTTTTTGTTTTTTTTTTTGTTTCACCATATCTATAAACAAGGAGTGAATGTCCTGTTTCATGATTTCTATGTATAATTTTTTTTTGTTTGTATGACTACTTAAATGTTATAATTAAGCTCTTTAGCCACTATTTCTAATTTCTTGGATAATGTACTAAACTCTATCTTATTTTCTAAAGCAAACATTCTACATCCTAGTGTAATAGCTCCTACGAACTTATTTCGGCAGCTTTTAAAACAGAGTAATTATATAAGCAAGCGATTAGATTTTCCAGTACCATTAACGATTGAAAATATACATACTTTGATAGATATTTCAAAACTCACATCTTTTTATTATAATAGAAGAATAATTTTCATATTACGCATACCACTGATTTCTTCTTTAAAGTTCACCTTATACAAATGCATACCTTTACCAACCCCTCATAATCCTAATGATCCTAACTCTTTTGCTCTAATCCAACCTACCAAGCCTTATCTTGGAATAACAGAAGATAGACTTAGTTATAGTTTGCTAGATAATTTAAACGACTGTAATATTATTAATAATGATTATTCTATATGTCCTTTAATTTCTATATTTTCTACAATAAAGAATCCATGTTGTGAAACAAAATTGTTAACCGAAGTAACGTTATCTTTACCACATCAATGTAACACTAAACTTTTATATGGACAAATCGATGTATGGTATAAAATAAATAATAATAAGTTTATCTATGTACAGTCTGAGAAATGTAAATTAACTATAAAATGTAATAATATAATACAAGATTTCACTATTTTAGGGACAGGTATCCTAAGTTTAAACGAAAGCTGTATTGGTTTCTCTAAGACAATTCAATTAATGCCATCTACAACTAAATCTATTAAAATCAAAAATAAAATGAATTTAAACTTTAATATTACAGAAGACGATTGTTGTAATAAAGAAATTTTAAACAAATCAATTCCATACTTATCTCCTATATCTTTAACTAGCCTAGACATGGAAACTCTGAAATATTCTTACCATTCCTTAAATAACTTAGAAAATGAGATCAATAGAGTTCAAGAACAATCACACATGATAAAATATGGTAAATACTATTCATCATTTACATACTTTTTGATTATTTGCATAATTTTATATATTTCCTATAAAATATTTTGTTGCTCTATTAAGAGAAATAATGATTCTTGCCGTTGCATACAAATATTTAATCAGTGCAATACACGACGGATTTTTAAACACGAATCGAAAGTTAGTAATTCTATTGAGTTAACTGAAGTTTCATCATCAGACGATGATAAAAAAGAATCTATATCCTTACCAAATATGCCAGTGCAAAACCAAATGAAAAGAACATTCGGTAAATTTCACTTATCAAATCGAAACTTATGTAATAATTAAAAACTATATTACTTTACTATACTTATTTCATAAAGCATTATGTTACATTAGAATATAAGTTTATATTTTGTTTTATACACTGTGTCTTAGATATTAATATTACTAAATGTTTGTATTTGAAATAAAACATAAATCTTAGCATTAATACACTGAATCTTCTACTATTTCATTATTCACTGAATCTTATAAAAAATACTATATTACTAGTTCATAATCTCAATAAATAATTTCTTATAATTTTATGTAGATATTGTTTAAGAATAGTTTAATTTTACTATGCTTTTGTATCAATTCAATTTGATTTTGTAATAATAACAAATAATTGAAACAATTCTATTTTACAATTATTTTTTGTATTCAAATTATTTTTTTATTTCCACTGTAACGTTTGTGAGACTCTGCTCATCCCTTATTTAAAAGAAGGATGAGCTCCGTCAAAAAGGGGGGAGATGTTATGTCCAACCCTAGTTAGATAAAAGCGCTGACTCGATTATTATATTTATTATAAAAGCCTAGAGTTTGAGGTAATCGAGGCAGTGCAGTTCCAACCCATATTAAGTGCATATCGCACACGCCGTTCGCGGCTTTTGTACATTTCTTGTATTAATTTAATATTGGGGAAATAAACCAAAAGAACTTCTGGGATTGGGTGTAAAAGTTTTTTTAAAAACACCTTCAGAGCGGCCCTCCTAACAGAACGCACCTTGGTACGTCCGTAATGCCGACCTTCATCGGGACCTAGAGCTCCCCACAATTCAACAATTTCTCAAAAAACTCTCTGAGAACTTCTTCAAAGCCTCAGAGTCGCACTCAAACCATTTAATTCGTGAGGCAGCTACTTATGCAGCCGCACCCCCTCTCGCTATCGAGTCGGAGTAGGCACTCCCTCAGCGGCTCGTAGCCGCCTGCGCCCTCTTTTCCCAAAAGAGGGTCGCTCATGATAAGGCACAATAAAGCTTAATCAGCCGGTTGCCTGTCGCCAAAGGCGGTTTTTAGAGGGTATCACTTAGGGTCCCCGGTAGGATGTGAGTCCCTCATAACCACGATAGACCGGCTATCGTGGTATGCGTAAAACATTTTCCGCCTCCCTACGTATAGGGTAGCCCTTTAATTGCTTCGGGCGCAAAAAAAAACATACAAGTAGCGCCTCCAGGCGGCAGGAATGCACAATGCTTATCATGATAATATTATGTTTAAGAATCTATACAGAATACATTTTAACTTCTTATTAAATTAAGATCTATTTTGTAATAAGAAATTAGATTACAAAAGTGAAATATTGACATATTGTCGTTTTAAATTACTTTAAAAGAAAAAAGAATTAAACAAATCATTAAATTTACACTTAAATGTTAATATTTCTAATACAGCTCTTTAAATTATAATAAGAGAAAATTCTAATAAGTAACTAGACTTATATCTCGTTTCTAACATTCTAATTAAACCTAAATAAGCAATTAGATTCACATTTTCGTTACAGACTTTTGTTACTAACTTTCGTTACGTAATTTTAAAATAAGAATTGAAGCTAATATAAGTAGTTAATTAACTTTCTTGTTATTAACACTATCAGTCTTTACACTTAGTTTTATATCACAAATAAGAATAAATTGAAATTAAATAATTAAATTCACTTGTCGCTGACAGGTCACTGAAGGAAATAGTGAAAAGTAAGGATCTAGGCAATCAAATAAAAAAGAAAACATTCGAGACCTGCATTCTACCAGTTCTTACTTATGGCTGTGAAACTTGGTCAACAACACTTCACCATAGGGAAAGGCTAACAAAATGCCAACGTTCCATGGAAAGAAGCATGCTAGGCTTAAAAATCAAAGACAGAGTCAGGAACGTAGACATTAGAACAAGAACAAAACTCACAGACATTCTTACCCGGATAGAGGTCCAAAAATGGAGATGGGCTGGACATTTGCTACGTCACCACATTAACAAGTGGAGCAAGCAAGCCACTCTCTGGCAACCAAGAGATGGCAAATGAGGCAGGGGTCGTCAAGTCAGGAGATGGGAAGACGACTTGAAAAAGACAGCAGGACCATTCTGGCTGAGAGTACAGGAACCATTGGAAGGAATTGGAGGAGGCCTGTGCCAAAAGGCACACCGAACTTAGGGACCTCTTGTAACCCTATGTTTATGAATAAAAGGCTATTATTATTATTATATAAACACTGCTATTGTTTTAGAATGATGTGTTCTCCTATAATTGGTAGTACATAGTAATTTATAGATGTAAAGCATGTGTTAGAAGTAATTTAATATGTACAGCTGTTGGAGATCCATACAAATAAATAAATAAATTTGTTGTCACCCATGAGGATTAAGATGGAATGCCTTGTAAAAAAGGTCTCCAGTTCTCTACACTCACCATGCAAAACACAGCAGCATTGAGCGGCTATTTTTACACACCTGGTTCATGCTACTACCATAAGATAGCTGTAGTATGGCTCTACCATATAAAAAGTGTTGTAATAAAATGTAAAAATGTTATGGAATAGTAGTAATAAAATGAAAAGCTATAATTAGGACCTGTAGTTGTCAAAACTAACTTACTTTAGCATTTAGCTTCTTTTAATATAATTCTACCAATGGCAAATCTTTTAACATTCATTTGAATGCCAACATTTACCAGATCATGATTATTTGATACATGTTGTAATGTAGTATTATTTGCTTTTTTTTTCAGAGAAAGTCAACCATGATCACAATTATTGTAAAAAAGGCAGCATTTGGATCACACCTACTGTATTCCAGAAGTTGTAGAAAAACACTTTAAGGCTTTAAATACTGACAATACTGGTAAGTTTTGGTTCAATTCTTTCTAATAATTACATAAAAAGTTATTAAATATTCTGATCATATAAAATAATATATTGCTTATTTAGCATCCATAATTTGTGTTTCTGTTTGTTTCAATATTACTGACATATAATTGCAGCTCAATTTGCTGACATGACATGCATAAGGCTTTTGATTGCAGCGCTACTTATTAAGGATTATGAATTTTTCATTGGGTTGCATAATAGCTTTTCTTACGAGTCAATGTGCTTGCATCTTTTTGCCGGTTTTTTATTTTTTAAGTTTTTTTCTTTTAGAGATCGCTTGCGTCGCTTAATTTGGTTTACTGTTGCTTCGTTAAATTTAATTGAATGTTCATCGTGGGAAATATCATCTTCGTTTAAATTTCCACAAATATTTACTTGGGTAGCGGCTAATTTCCCACTGAACTCATCAAGTTTTGTATCAGGTGTTCTAGCATCAAGTATATATCCCTCTTCAGACGTTATCAGGTCAAAGTCTTCTTTAGTTTTTGCTTCATTTTCTAATCTATTTTTCTTTGGTTTTTTGTTGTCTGTTTCAACTTGATTAAGCTCTGATGTACTCATTGATTTTCCTGGCTGGACATTTAACTTTTTGTTTCTTCCTTTTTTCATTTCATTAGGTTTCCTATTGTCTTTTAAATAATCAAGTAATAAATGATCCACAGATAAAGTTGTCTCATTTGGAAGACATTCGGGAATTTTTTTGTACACTTGTTGAGGATTGAATGGAACGATACCTGTCGCTCTGAATCCACTCACGACATTTTCTTTCTTTTTCATGTTAACTTCATCCATCACCTTTGCAAGCAGAGGTGGAAAATGGGTCTTATTAAGCCCAGCTTGCTTCGGATTTTCAATCTTGTAAGTAGTTAAAACTTTTCGCCAAACCTTTTTCAAGCGGCCAAAGAAAGCTACATCCAGCGGTTGAGTCAGATGAGTCGAATTTGGTGGCAGAAGCACAAATCGAATATTATATTTTTCACATAATTCTATGACTTCCGTATTGATATGGCTGGAAAGGTTATCCCCAATCACGACCTTTGGACCTTCTAGTTTGCGTGCCCATGGCACAATTATGGTGTTAAACCAGTCAAGAAACGTTATTGAATCGAACCAACCACTTTTGGTTCAATTAAACCGCGCATTTTCAGGTCCTCCTTCGACCCATTGACGCCACATGGTCTCTGCCTTATAAACAACGTATGGAGGCATCACAGATCCGTTGGCTGTAGCTGCAAAAATTACTGATATACAGCCTTTAGAACTGTTCATTACACGTTCCGGATACTTAGTACCACGACGGAAAATACATTTAGCAGAGCCGGGGTCGTCGCTGAAATTTATTTCATCATAATTCACAATGTGTGTTGGAGGCACGTTTTCCAATACAGACTCAATATTATTGAAAAACTGCTGAAATTCTGACAGTGTTTTTTCTGCTCTAGCCCTTTTGATGTTCTGTACAGCTATCAGATTTAGTTTGTTGCGATAGCGCTCAATAAAATTTTTTACCCACCATTCACCGGGCATTTTATTATGAAAAGTATCGCTCCTATTATTTTTCTTTAAATATTCATGGACCAGAATTCGGAGATCAAGTTGCGTCAGCGAAGCTCCGTAGTCTGAGGCCACAATAAGAACTTTCACAAAGTTAAGTTCTTCTTCTGGCGTCAATTTGAAGGGTGGCCCTGGTTTGTCAGAATGAATTTTTTTTAACTTTTTGTTCAATAGTTCTTCTTGGTATGCTAAAGGTTTTTTCGGTCTCGTAAGAAGTCATTATTTTTGTTTCCACCATCTCTGGTTGCGCGGAAAACCATTCGTATTTATTTTATTTGACGGTAGGCTGCCAAATCGGTTATCCCTTTCCAAAACGATATCATTCATACCCTCCTATCGACACATCGGGGTGGTGGGGTGGGAGGGGAAAGAAGATGATTCTAGAACATCACGTAATCATCGGAACCGAGGATATATAAGGCACGCGCGACCGACGCGCAGCCTCTTCCCACCGCGCTCGCCGTTGAAACCACACCGACTCTCTCCCGACGTATCTCTGGGGCCCCAGAGTGTCTGTCCAGAAGAGGTTCCAGAAGTCGCAGTTATAGTGCTCGACCGCATAGAAGAAACATCCCGGTGAGTCAACATTTTCCTACTAGTATAGCCTGCTTGATATAATTGTTTAACCCGCTCCAATTTTGTGTTTTCCTAATCAAGCAGGATTCCTTTCATCGATTTGGCAAATAATAGTTCGTTTTTAGGGAAGAGCGAGTGCATTGTACCGCATATATAAGTGTAGAAGCATTTGTAGATACAGTCCACTTAGATTAATATCTCGCGTAATAGGTTTAAGGTTCGACCGGGGAACTAGACTTCGGCAGCCTTAAACACGTGGCTCCACCAATCTCAATAGCTAAGGCCATCATCTCGTCGGTGTAATTTTTGTAGGGCCTTGCCCCAAGTTTTCTTCTGTCTCGTTTTTTTGGGAGCATTCTGAAACAAAAAGATACTTACCAGATAAGCACACATAAGCGTAAAGCATTCATTCACAAAGTTCCCGAGAAGCCCGTCATGATCAGCCAGATCATGGGAGCATTTTGTCATTTGAAACTACTTTGTTCTAAAAGTTTTTCATCATGAAAATAATCGAAGTTATTAATGCACTTTAATGCGTTAGTAGCGCGGGATATTCATATTATACACATACCTATATAAAAACAAAACATTCACACGTATCAAACAAAGCACGCACATATACATGAAATACTTAATTTATGCCAACCCTAGCTGTAGGTAAAGTTACCACAAAGCAGTCGGTGTCAACTTTACCTAATCTCAAACATCATTACCTATACCAATATTCCAATGAAAAAAGAAAGTAGCGATTAAACAATATAACAGCTGCAATCCCGACCATTTCCTTCATACAATATCAAAATTACACTCACCTCTCACAAGTAGTTTAAACTCTGAAGACAAAATTTCACCACAATTGTTGGACGACGCTTTCACAGGAGCACACAATGAACAGCCATATTGAAATAATCGTCAGTGTTACCAGTAAGAATATTATAAAAAATTTTACCCTACGCTATTGAAATAATAATACTATTTAAATTCCGTTTATTTAATTGCAGTTTTCTAAGGTAGGCAACTTTAAGTAAAATACCTACTATATGGTATACGTTCGACGGTACCAACAGCAGGTAACAAATTTAAAAATTAGTAATCACTAGTATTTGCATACCTGACAATAAATTGTTTATAACAATGATAATACTAAATTGATTTATTTCTCACACACTTGTTATATGTAATAAGTTGTTGCACAATTTATGACTACATGCCTTTTTTCCTTATAACTGAAAAAATATTTCACTTTAATATAAATATAATTAATGACATCCCACAGTTTAACGCATGATCTAAAAACATCAACTGTACACTCAATTGAATTATCTGTCTTATTTCCTTTTTTTATATTTCAGATAAACATGTACTTTGTTCTCCAATGACAAGGAGGAAGCAGCATATCATAAAAGACAAGTAAGCTGTCACCGCATTGTGCTAAGCTATACAGGCAATATACAAAATCACAGAGGCAGTTTAATTTCAGTCTACGAGCAAAAAAGGCAGTGAAATTTTCAAAAGAAAAATCATTTGTTAGACTCGCAGAAAAATTGAACCCAATTGCTAAAAAGTTTTTGTGGATGCAGATTAAAAAATACACTAAAAAGCGAGAAGCAGGCGATTTTCTAATGAAGAAAAATTGATAGCAATGGCAATAATGAAACAGAGCCCAAAATGCTATAAATTTCTTCATAGAATATTTATCTTGCCATCAAAATATACTATAAACAAAATGATTGCCAAACTAAATATCACGTTTACTGCGTAACAGGCCGATATCGGCCTGCCGCGGTACTTGAACTGGTGCGGACGAAGAAAACTATGTCCCTCTCGCTTGTGCGAAACGATTATCTCAGGTGTTTGTAAAAATTCGACAGAGACAAATATATATTTCATCTTGCGGTAAATGCCGTAGTTGTTCCCCATCAAAACATAACGGCAGGCTTTTATTGACCTACCACGCACTGACGGTGAAAAAACATCCGCGAGTGCGGCAGTGGGCCTATTTCGGCCCGCCCTCCCACCAGGCAGCTGGCGACCCGATACCGCACAGAGCGCGCGCCCCGCCAGTTAGTGTTGTGCTATCTAACAGCTCTGTCGTAGCGTCCGATATTATCAACAATGGCAAGCAATAAAAGAAAAATACAAATTTTGGAAAATAGAGTAATTCGCCCTGCAATTATTGACAGTGATAGTGACAGCAGTGAAGAAATATTTTCCACTAAGAAAACTAAAAAAGGATTTGGAAACAAATGTGCACGGAAAACAAAGCACAAGCGGTAAGTTTTATTTACTACCTACACATATCAACATATCAGCCTTAGACGCATAATGACGTGGGGATTTTTTATGTAATACCATCCTTTATGAAAAAGATTATTCTTAACACTTTCATTGCATTTTAATGATTTATTTTCAACAGTTGATGTCGAGAAAATTTAGTTTTTTTGAACATCTTTTTCAATTGAACCATAATCCGTCCGCTTTTACCCCAACACTCCTTTTTCTCGCTAAATAAGACACAATAAGAGTCACAGTAAACTTTTTTTGTCAACAGCGGACGTTTTCAGTAGCCCCAGTGGAAGAAAATTTCATATTCTTAAACCAGTCTCGTTTTCACATGTAACTAAAACAGGTATGTCTTAATTTAAATAATTTATTTGCTTTTAGTGTTATAGTTTCTGCTGAGCATCTATTGACAGATATCTCTCTCTCTCTATCTCTCAAAATTTCATATTTTATTTAATTTTTTACTTATATTACTGTAAAGTTTCATCTAAATCCGTTCAGTAGTTTTTGCGTGAAAGAGTAGCAAACATCCATACATCTAAACTTTCACATTTATAATATTAGTGTAGATTAATTTTATTCCACTTACCTTTTTTTGCATTACAGAATGTAAAAATAAACCTACACCACAGACATCAAAAGGATTGTCTTCGCCTAGCTCATCGTCATTTGAACGATTTAGTATGTATAGCTCAAGAGGATGCAGTCCTTCGCTAAACAATATATCAGCTTCTAAGGTTATGCACGGCATCAAAATAGATGAAAGCGAATATCATGACTTGATAAATCTAAGAAACGATAATAAAAAGATAAAAAAGAAAAATGAAATAGAAAGGAAAGATCCAAAGACAAAACTTACATTCACTTATTCTTTTGAAGACAGTATGTCGCAAGGGTTAACTGAAAGTAATGAAAATTGTGTTTTTATGACGAAGAACGTAATAAACAGTTTGAAGAAAATGAAAGACAGAAACAAACACTTAATGACGAAGCAGAGAGAGAGAAAGAAACAGAAAATGTTGATGTAGAAGATGTAGAAGAGAGAGAGGAAGAAACAGGAAATGCTGAAGAGGAAGATGAAGATGCAGAGAGAGAGGAAGAAACGGAAAATACTGAGGAGGAAGATGAAGAGCAGGAAAGTGGTGACACAGGCGATGATGAGAGTGATGAATATTCTGCAAGTGAAGTTGTATCGGATATAGATAATGATGTTTCAGAGGAAGAGGAAGATGCACAGGATAATAGTGTCAATGAATGGGATGCTGTCACAGATTTGACACCTGAGTTGGATGCGTGTACTTTAAATGAAAGCACTTTTAATATTCCTATAGAAGATATATCTCCTGCAGGTATTTTTTCCTTATTTGTAACTGATGAAATAATAGATAAAATGGTTACAGAAACTAATAAATATGCGTTAAAACACATCGCAGAAAAGCAAAATAATAACGAAATAAAAACAAAATCTCGGTTATTATCATGGAAAGCTACGAATAATATAGAAATGCGGAAGTTTCTAGGGGTACTACTCGCAATGGGTCTGAACAAAGTGTCTCATATAAATGACTATTGGTCAAAAAAATCAATATATCGAAACGAATATATTGTATCTGTAATGACTCGGGATAGATTTCTGCTATTACTGAAATTCTGGCATTTTTGTGATGATTCGTCAGCCATCCACAATACAAATAAGTTGAAGAAAATTCATGATTTGGCTAATATGCTCAACAGCAGATTCCAAGAAGTATTAACGCCAGGTAAATTCATTGTTATAGATGAATCAATGATACCATGGCGTGGCAGGCTGAAATTCAAACAATTCATTAAAAACAAATCACACAAGTATGGTGTTAAAATTTACAAGTTATGCACTCCAGAAGGGTATATATATAATTCAATAATTTATTCTGGAAAGGGAGAAAATGGCCGTGAACAAAATCATGGTAAAGTCACCGTACTGAAACTCATTCAAGGGACAATTTCTACTCTTGAATTGAATTGGCGGAAGAACTCTTATCTCAAAAAACCCGTTATTGCGGTACCCTAAATTCGAAGCGAAGGGGGCTACCTAAGGAGATAGTGTTACTAAAGTTGAAGAAGGGTGAAATCAAAGGAGCTATGAATAAAAATGGCGTTAAAGTTATTAAATGGGTTGACAAAAAGGCAACTTCTAATGATATCTACTCTCAAAGAGGACAAAGATGTGCTTGTCAACACTGGCAAAAAAAATAGGAAGACGAATGAAGATATAAAAAAGCCTACATGTGTCTTAACGTATAATAACAACAAAAAAAGGAGTTGACTTCAGCGACCAAATGTCTTCATACTATTCTACATTAAAAAGAGGGCTCAAATGGTTCAGAAAAGTGGATATGGAATATTTGTTAGGCATGGCGTTAGTAAACGCGTGGATCACATACAACGTGAAATGTGATAAGAAGGTTTCAAAAAAAGAATTTACAGAGGCATTAATGCAATCATTAACTGGAAAAAGTATATGCGCTGATAGTAAGTATAATGACGTGTAACATCACTGTAGGCATATGTAGATTATTGTTGAAGGCGATTCCTACATTTCCGTGTTTCAACATCGTCAGACGTTCTACATCTGCAACAGGTAACTATTGTCATTATTTTGAACATATTACCAGTGTTACGGTGGCTGCGCATGGTCTTCGTGCATGAGCTTTGTGCTGACTCTGCTATTTTCTGCGAGCAATGTTGTTGTTTGCACTACTGTTCTATTATGGTATGTTATGGCACTGTTTACTTACTCAATAACACATAATGCGAGTTCTTATTTCGGAGCACTCAGCTGCATTTATCATAAAAATAACGCTTTAAGTGGTCTACTTGATTGCACAAAATAGACATTAGGTCCTGTTACACTATATTATACACCATATACATAATTTTATACCTATATATACAGGCTGTTAGGGTTATCACCGCTGTCCTTCAAGGAGGTAACTCAGTATCGTTTATACAACAAATTTCCCTATCATGTCGTAAACTCGAAAAAAAATTTTTGGCTTCCCATACTAACCGATCCGATCAACTGATTAAAAATTGTATTTGAGGAATAAACTATCTGATTTTTTTGTATGAAAAGTGAGAATATTTTTTTAAGATTTCAACATGGGTCCCATAAGGAAAGTTGTTGTATAAGCGATACTGAGTTATCTCCTTGAAGGACAACCCTACACCTATACAACATGTAATTCCAAATGCGCAAAAACCTCCCGTGGGGTAACTCAGCCCATGTTACAGAACAATTTTTGTTCTGAGATTCGCAAAAAATATTTTCACTTAATTTAAAATGACCTTATACACCGTGTAACGGAAGGGGGGTATCAACCCTGAAGGAGGTGAATGTGCTCATGAAACTGAACAACTTTCCCCAAAGAATATAGGTCGAAGTATGAAAAAAAATGTTGGACCTCCCGTAGTAGTAAATCAATCAGCTGGTTGTCAATTTTGTAAGGGAAGGCCAATTTTTTTTTCATATTTCGACCTATGTTCTCTGGGGAAATTTGTTCAATTTCGCGAGTTCTGTGGTAAAACTCAATGTTTAATAAATCACACGGAATTAAGCAAAAAAATTCATTTCAGAAAATCAAGTAAAACCTAAGGACAATGACCATGTTCTTGAAATGAGCGCTAAACGAAGAAATTGTGCAGGGTGCTACGACAGACTGCGGAAAATCTTTAATAGTACCGAAGCAAAAAAAAAAGTAAAGAAAATAAAGAAATATTGCAGGAAATGCAACCAAAACCTTTGCGTAACATGTTTCCAAGATAGGCATAAGTAAATAAAAACATTTTACAGTTCTTTTACGATAATTCTGTTTTATTTTCGATATCCCCTTATTTTTCTCTGTCCCGTCACTACTAAAAATACTTTCTAGTGCGGTTCAGGTCGATATCGGCCTGCCGCTTTTCCTGCTTTATTTCTCATTTCTTGTTTGGCAGATCCCGGGGCGAATCAAACCTATGAACGTTGGGTTCAAGCTCATTCTAACAATATAAAAAAAATGTATACATTATGTTTCCACAAAGTTATAGCAATTTAATCTATCCTAGTGCTGGTGGGTCTAGATCGACCACTCACGCACTGGCGGAAACATCATTGGGGGCGCATTTTGGCCCGCCGCCGCACTAGATGAAGTATTATGATTTTACTTGCCGCAGTAAACGTGATATAGAAGCAGGAATCAATGCTCAAATATTTGATACTATCAAAACAGAGGTAGTGTATTTTTTTTTAAATAAGTTTATTTTTTTCATAATCTATGTATTATACCATAGCTATAGTCTACTTCTATTTCTGGTTGCATTGATGTTAGACTGCCTTTTTATTTCTAAAAAAGGTTGTTTTAAAGCATGTGTCTTCAAAATACTTTTTTTTGTTTGCATGCAGATTTCATTTCCGATGTTTTTCTTCACTTTCAAATATGTGGTAAATGAGCATTGAAATTTGTAAGTAAATTTTCAATGCGGCAGAGCTACGTTTTTTACTGGAAACGAGGCATTCCATCTTGGTCCTCAGGGGTGGCATGGCTTCTGCATTTTGATTCTTAATCGAAAATAGATGCTGATGTCTATGGGCCGCAGCATCAGCTTACCACCAGGTGGGCTGTGTGCTTGTTTGTAACCCTTATTCTAGAGTGAAATAGCAGCTAATGCTACTGTGTTTCGTATAATTAGTGTAATGAACCAGAGATCATTTTTGCTGGAAACGGCTCGCATTCCATCTTAGTCCTCAGATGTGACAACACATCTGCATTTTGATTCTTAATCGAGGATAAATGTAATGTCTATGGGCCAGAGTCAAGTTGACTATGTGCTCGTTTGTCACCCTTATACTATTAAAAAAAGGAGTGAATATCCATAGATGCTAGAACTATACAGTACATACGTATATCAAAGTTAATATTGACTAATTATATTGCTCACAGGTCAACACTTGGGTTCAAAAGAAAAAATATTGTTCCATACTGTTTGATGAAGTGGCCTTAGAAGTTGGAGTGCCTTATGACAAACATAAAGATTTAATTAGTAGATTTGTTGTACTTAACAAAACAAATGATTTTGCTGACCATGCCCTTGTTTTTATGTTGCGAGGAGTTGTTCACAAGTGGCAACAACCCCTGGCCTTCTACTTCTGTAAAGGAGCAACTTCAGGAGTTGAATAAAAAATAATTATCAAGAACATGGTAACAGCTGTAGGTAACAGGACTTAGACCAGTTGCGTTAGTCTGTAATCAGGGCACAGCATTTCAATCAGCCTTAAAGAGCCTTCAAGAGGATACAAGGCGAGAGCAAATAGTTTTAGGTGAAAGGATTGGTGAGTAGGCCTTGTCATCTTTATATGCAATTTCTTATCAAGAATAAAATTATGGGATGGTGTTTGTATCTAAATTGTAATTATTTTTCAGATGATGTGATTGTAATAAATGGTCATACACTTAGTGTAATTCACGATCCACCTCATCTAATAAAAGGATTAAGAAATAATTTCCTAAATAAAGACATAAAATATAATGAAAAGATTTCAAAGTGGAATGACATTGTTGAAGTATATAAAACAGACTGCAATCTTGCACAGATGAGGCTTTTACATAAATTAAATGATGAACATGTGATTCCAGAGAAAATTAAAAAGATGAAGGTAATTATTATTTTATTAAATATCTGTTTTTTTTTTCCTATGTTCTTCACATTTTGAAATAGTAAAAAGTCTACTATTTTTCTGTTACTAGTTTTTAATTTCTTTGTTATTTATATATCAGGTAAAAAATTGCACTAGAGTGTTTAGCAAGATAGTAGCTGCTACATTATCGTATACTGCTAAGTTTTGTAAGTTCCTAAGCTAAATTTGGTATAATATTTTCAGCTTGCTGAAAAGTCAAAGCTAAACTTTAACTTTTTTGAAATAAATTAAAATTGAATTGAGTTTGAACAAACCCTTTATGTGGCCTATTTTTTTTAGCTCATTATGCAGATGGAAAACAAGTAAGCTCGACATGGAAAAATACAGCCGAAATTATATCATTCTTCAACGACCTTTTTGACTCAGTTAATGGAACTTCATACAGTAAAATGTCCAAAAGAAAAGCTTTAAGACAAGCAGTAACAGAAAAATCCTCACATCACGAATTTTGGAGGGAAGCCATCCTAAAACTGCAGAGCATAAAATTTATAGATAATCAAGGTAAAGAAACATGTGTGCCTTCTTTAAAAAAAACTGGATAACAACTCTTAAAAGTTATCAGAGATTATGGCAATATCTAGGTGCAAAAAATATTAAAGTTTTGCGCCCGCGGTATTTAAATTCTGATCCTATAGAAAACTTTTTTGGACAAATTCGGGCATACAATTTTAGAAATACGAATCCGGATTGCCAAACATTCAAAAGTACCTTTAGATCACTGTTAATCACAAGGTTTATAAAGTTCGACTCAGATAGTTATAATTGTGAAGAGGATTCTGGTGAACAATTATTAAAATTAAAATCATTATTTTGTACAAAAAAATTGATGATACTAAGCAAATTCCTTCATTTGAGTCTTATGAGCAATCGAGTTGGGTAGAAAGTGAAAGTTCAGCAAAGCAGGAAAAAATGAATGTTCACTCACGTTCATATACACGTGCATATACCGCTGGGTGCGTCGTAAGAAACGTACTAAAAAAATTATTGTCACCAGTGTGAAGCTCATTTAACAGATAGAGAATCCAATTTTGATAAAAATTCTATCAATAATTAAAGAATTTAAAAGCATAAAAGAAAAGAAATTGATCTACCCTTCGGAAAATGCTGTGAGATTTTTTGGGATAGTAACACAAGAAGCAAATAAATACTTAGAAACCAAACCTCAACAGAGATTTATTATTAAAAAAAAAACATAAAAACTCTTATCAAATCTAAGTATTTATTTGACTTTATAAACTGCGAACTGCATAAGGACGCTGTTTCTGAACACTTTTTAACTCTAAGATTGACAGTGTTTAATGGGTGCAATATTATAAATAAAATATTGAAAGGTATAGATGTTCTAAGATTAGAAAATAAAACTTACCTCAAATGCAATTAAAAGCTTTTAATAAATTTAAAACAAAATTAAGAAATAAAAAAAAGTTTAAATAACACAGCGGTCTTTCCTTTTACATTTCCCATCTAAGTAGTGCGAATCGAATCCATCTAAATAAATACATTTTTTATGGTTTCGTATTATTTAATAATTGGAATAATAAATAAATAGGATGTAGGTCCTATAACAAGAAAGGCTGTATCGTACCATACTTTGATCGTGACAATGGCAAATTAAAAAAAAAGTTCTGTCAAACGATATGTGAGCTTAGACCACTGACTTAGGAGTTTATGGACTGGGCATACCTACAAAATTAGCGTGACTACCTACGAAAATCTAGCATATAAAATGGCCGCCTTTTATAGGGTTGTAACTCTGCAATAAGCGCAGCTGATATCGATAACATGATTTTTTTCTCATTTTATATAATTGGATTTTGTTGCTTAATTTACTTTATTTTGTAGGTATTTACATAGATACAGGGCCGAATTTTCAATCGTCAAATAACTTATCTGGCGAATAAATGTGACCGACAGATTTATGGCTTTTGTGTAGATAGAAATTAAATCCTTCTTTTGTGTTTATCATCATATTATTAATGTAAAATAATAATGATTAATTGAGTAAAAATGAAATAAACTGTTTTAAAAATCAATACATATTTATTATTAATTTATCTGCACATAATTCATCACAAATATTATATACTATATTATTATTATTATTTATAACACGTGACGTGATTTAATTATGCTTCACAAAATTATTTTAATTTAAAAATCAATTGCCGTACGGTAGTTTTGCAAAAACTCAGAAATGCCTCTCAATTAAGAGTTACAATCAAATCAAATTTATGTGGTTATCTAGTAACATAATAAAATATAAATAGAAGATACACCTACTATAAGATAAGATGAAGGCACTGCACTACACAACAAAAAAACTTTTAGCATTCAACAGTTTGACAGCAGATCTACCACAAAACTCAGCACTTAACATGGCGACGCAGTCACGCATGGAAGAGCTAATGACGTCACACGAAAGTGTTATCACAATAAGCAATTGACAAACTGTTGTTGTCTCCCTTTTCTAATGAAGCTACTGGTTTGTTAAAAAGAAACAAAAGTATTTTTGACAAGTGTGTGTCGATGTTATAGATATTTGTATAACTATTATTTCTATAGTAGAATACGGCGCCTCCATAGGTATTATTATCTCTATGGCTTAGACGAGTACAGTTTAACTCTATGGGAGTGTCCTGTCTGATGCGTTAGTATCATAGTAGTCTGTGGCAGTGTGGTTCTATAGTTCTAATGTTATGTTTGAAATAAATTAAATTTCATTAATCTTCGCATTGTGTAATTGTTATATATGTTTATACTTTTCACTGATACTAATTCACTCCACTTTATAAGAAATAAAACACCCACAGAAAAATATTGTTCTTGTATATGGCGCACCAGCGCCATGCGATGTTATTTACGCCTCCTTAGTCTCGCGTCGTTCCGATAGAAATGACCACAGATTACCTCCTAATAGATTCCGCATACAGGGCCACAAACGCGCGCAACACATACTTGCTGTAGCTGGCATATGAAGTGACGCTAGGAATCACGATATCATTGTCGACCAAGAATGTGACCCGTAGACACGTCCGAGTTTTTGAAAATTTAAAAATAATTTGGTATCCGAAATACATTACAAACGGCTTCCTATGCAGT